AGATGATAATATTATCATTGAAAAGTTTTATTTGGCTTAAAAAGAGTGTACTTAGGTGCTATATAAGTGGTTATTCTCTTCCTTCTTTTACAAGGAGCGTTTGGCCTTTCCTCTGCCCTCTGGCATTGCACATTCAGCAGCACCAATCCCTGGCTCTGTCACAGTGCTAACTCACTGGGAACCCTAGGGAATGTACTCAGTTTTCATACCTAGGAACCTTAGGTTCAGCTGCTTTAGACAAGGTTTAGGCTGATGGAAATGAGGGAATATATGATACCAGAAACAAGGCCATGGATCCCTGCCTAGATATGAGGGACCTAGAAGAAAAGTGTAAGTATGTAATTGTGTGTGTGTGCGTGCGTGTGTGTGTGTGTGTGAGATGAAGATGAGTGGGAGGCCAGCACACCACCAAAGTTGGCTGCCACTTTTTACCTTCCATCTCCAATGCTTTTCTACCTTTCCCATCCTAGGTGGGGAACACCCAGGAGCTTCATTATGGAGTCCCACTTGGGTTATCCAGGTAGGGTCAAAGCCGCTCAATAGTTTCAAGTCTGCCTTGGTTACATATAAGGCTCTTCCACTGGAAACTTGAAGTCATGCACCTCTGAAAAGAGGTGGAGGATTGTCTCCTTTATATTTCGCACCTAGCCACCCCCATCTCAACTACCACTGAGTATGATACAAGGTAGATCTGTTTGAAGATCTAGAGCTGACTGTGGCTCAGATCATCCGTTCCTTATAGCAAAATTCAGGCTTAAACTAAAGAAAGCAGGGAAAACCAATAGGCCAGTCAGGTATATCCTAAATCAAATCCCCTATGAATATACATAGGGAGGTAGCAAATAGATTCAAGAGATTAGATCTGGTAGACAGAGAGCCTGAAAAACTATGTGCAGAGATTTGTGATATTGTACAGGAAGCAATGACCAAAACCATCCCAAAGAAAAAGAAATGCAAGTGGTTGTCTGAGGAGGCTTTACAAATAGCTGAGGAAAGAAGAGAAGTGAAAAGCAAGGGAGAAAGGGAAAGGTATATCCAACTGAATGCAGAGTTCCAGAGAACAGCAAGGAGAGACAAGAAGGCCTTCTTCAGCAAACAATGCAAAGAAACAGGAGAAAAATTTGAGATATCAGAGGAAAAGTGCATGTGAAGATGGGCACAATAAAGGACAGAATTGGTAAAGACCTAGTAAAAGCAGAAGAGATAAAGAAGAGATGGCAAGAATACAGAGAAGAACTATTCAAAAAAGATCTTAATGACCCAGATAACCACAATGGCTAGTCACTCACCTAGAGCCAGACATCCCAGAGTGTGAAGTCAAGTGGGCCTCAGGAAACACTGCTGCCAATAAAGCTAGTGGAGGTGATGAAATTCCAACAGAGCTATTTAAAATCCTAAAAGATGATGCTACTAAACTGCTACACACAATTTGTCAGCAAATTTGGAAAACCCAGGAGGGCCATAGGATTGGAAAAGGTCAATCTTAATTCCAATTCCCAAGAAGGGTAGTACTAAAGAATGTTCAAAATACCAAACAGTCATACCTACTTCCCATGCTAGTAAGATTATTCTCAAAATCCTTCAAGCTAGGCTTCAATAGTACTTAAATTGAGAGCTTCTAGATGTATAGGATGGGTTTAGAAAGGGCAGAGAAACCAGAGATCAAATTGCCAGTATTTGCTGGATCGTACAGAAAGCAAGGGAATTCTAGAAAAATTCTGTTTTATTGACTATGCTAAAGCCTTTGTGTGAATCATAACAAGTTTTGGAAAACTATTAAAGAGATGGGAATACCAGACCAACTTACCTGTCTCCTGAGAAACCTGTATGCTGGTCAAGAAGCAACAGATGGAACCTTAGATGGAACAACTGACAGGTTCAAAATTGAGAAAGGAGTTTGACAAGGCCATATATTGTCATCCTGTTTATTCAACTTATATGTAGAACACATCATGCAAAATGCTGGACTGGATGAGTTACAAGCTGGAATCAAGATTGCCTGGAGAAATATCAACAACCTTATATATGTAGATGATATCACTCTAATGGCAGAAAGTGAAGAGGAACTAAAGAGCCTCTTGATAAGGGTGAAAGAGGAGAGTAAAAAAGCTGGCTTAAACCTCAATATTAAAAAAAGAAAAAGATCATGGCATCCACCCCCATCACTTCATAGCAAATAGATGGGGAAAAAGTAGAAGCAGTGATGGATTTCCTCTTCTTAGGCTCTAAAATCACTGCAGATGGTGACTGAAATCATAAAATTAGATGATTGCTTCTTGGAAGGAAAGCTATGATAAACATAGACAGCATATTAAAAAGCAGAGACATCACTTTGCCAACAAAGGTCCATATAGTTAAGGCTATAGTCTTTCTAGTAGTCATGTACTTATGTGAGAGATGGATCATAAAGAAGGCTGAGCACCGAAGAAATGATGCTTTTAAACTGCAGTGCAGGAGAAAACTTGTGAGAGTCCCTTGTCAGTAAGGAGATCAAACCTGAATACTCATTGGCAGGACTCATGCTGAAGCTGAAGCTCCAATACTTTGGCCACCTGATGCAAAGAGCACTTCATTGGAAAAGGCCCTGATGCTGGGAAAGATTGAAGGTAAAAGGAGAAGGCGACAGAGGATGGCATCACCAGAGATGGTTGGATGGCATCACCTATTCAATGGACATGAAGTTGGGCAAACTCCAGAAGATAGTGAAAGACAGGGAAGCCTGGTATGCTTCAGTCCATGGGGTTTCAGAGTTGGGCCTGGCAACTGAACAACAAGTTCTGTTTGATCCCCAAATCTTCAGATCCTGAGATGACTGGTAATTCTGACCCTATTCAGCAATTTTCAGGGTGGACCCTAAGGCTGATGCCTTTCTTTAAAAAATAATTAATTTATTTTAATTGAAAGATAATTACTTGAAATGCTATGATTGTTTTTGCCATACATCAACATGAATTGGTCACAAGTATACATGTGTCCCCCCATCCTGAACCCCCTTCCCTCCTCTTTCCCTACCCTGTCCCTCTTAATTGTCCCAGAGCACTGGCTTTGCATGCCCTGCTTCATGCATCTTCATAACACGTTTCTTTCAGCACTTTCATCTATTCCCATCTTTGAATGAGAATTCCCCCTATTACCAGAAGACTTCTCAGAGATTACCTAGTTCATTTTGCATGTGATGAAACTAATGCATTAGGAAGTACAGTGATGTGTCAAAGTTACAGAACCAGTTGATGTGAGAACCAGGTCACTAATTCTTTGCTCAGTCGTGTATAGTCCCAAATGTTGGTTTCAGAAGTGTGAGAGACTACTGACATGTGCTAACATTGTGCTAAGGGCCTTATACAGGCTTACATCATTGAGTTACCATTCTGGCCCTTCCATTAGGGCCACTGACAGAGCAAAAGAAGGGAACAGACTCAAAGAGTAAAGCAACTTATTTACAGATGGAGCGGAGATTTAGAACAAGGTATAGAACCGACATTCTTCCTCCTAGACAACTTGATCTCTACCTGCCCCACTTGAATCTAAGAACTAAAGGACTTTGGACTAGGGTCAGAGGTTTCAACCTTTTGCTACTAACAAAACTCCATTGCAGAAATTCAAACTTGGTCTGGCTCTGCATTTCATTGTTACCCTCTACATTGGGCTTAGTCTTTCCATTTTGACCACAATCCTGATTGAAACCAGTGTCTGCCCTAGCTGGCTGCTGGGGAGTGTATTTTTAATGGCAGATGGGAAAGCAGACCACCTTACTTGCCTTCTGAGAAACCTGTATTCTAGTCAAGAAGCAATAGTTAGAACCGGACATGGAACAATGGACTGGTTCCAAACTGGGAAAGGAGTATGTCAAGGCTGTATATTGTCACCCTGCTTGTTTAATTTATACACAGAGTACATTTTTTGCAAAATGTTGGGCTGGATGAAGAATGAGCTGGAATCAAGATTGCAGGGAGAAATATCAATAACCTCAGATATGCAGGTGACACCACCCTAATGGCTGAAAGCAAAGAGGAGCTAAAGAGCCTCTTGAAGAGGGTGAAAGAGGAGAGTGAAAAATCTGGCTTAAAACTCAACATTCAAAAAACTAAGATCATGGCACCCAATCCCATCACTTCATGGCAAATAGATGAGGAAACAATGGAAACAGTGACAGACTTTATTTTTTTTGGGCTCTAAAATCACTGAGGACAGTGACTACAGCCACAAAATTAAAAGATACTTGCTCCTTGGAAGAAAAGCTATGACAAACTTAGATAGTGTATTACAAAGTAGAGACATCAGTTTGCTGACAAAAGGCCATGTAGTCAAAGTTATGGTTTTCTGGTAGTCATTTATGGATGTGAGAGATGGACCATAAAGAAGGCTGAACACTGAAGAACTGATGCTTTCGAACTGTGGTGCTGAAGAAGATTTTTGAGAGTCCCTTGGACAGCAAGGAGATTGAACCAGTCAATCCTAAAAGAAATCAATCCTGACTATTCATTGGAAGGACTGATGCTGAAGCTGAAGCTGAAGTACTTTGGCTGCCTGATGCAAAGAGTCAACTCATTGTAAAAGGCCCTGATACTGGGAAAGACTGAAGGCAGGAGGAGAAGGGGATGACAGAAGATGAGATGGTTGGATGGCATCACCAACACAATGGACATTAATTTGAGCAAACTCCAGGAGATAGTGAAAGACAGGGAAGCCTGGTGTGCTGCAGCCCATTGGATAACAAAGAGTTGGACATGACTGAGCACCTGAACAACAACAAGATCTTGATTTTACCCATGTTTATTATTTGTTTTGGGGTTGCTTAAAGAATTTTTGCTGACTATGGAAGAAATAATTTTAAAATACAGAGCTTACCTATTTCAGAGAGGGGTATCAAATTTTTTCAAGCAGCCTTTCATAATGGCTTACTGGAAAGACCTCTTCACTTGTAGACTTATAGATAACACATTTAATCTCTACCTGGAGTCCTTGTTTATCTTATTACAGAGGCTCTTAGAAAAGGTGGGTATGACTACAAATTGTAGTTTCTCTTTATTTACAAATAGCAATTTCTCCCTCCTTGTTTCTGAATTGATCATGGCTGATATGAGTTTTGTGGCCATGCATTCAATTCCTTTAAATTACGTCAAGCACCCACAGCATGCAGGTCACTATACTGAAGACAGTCAGGCTGAGTTATTTCCACTTGTCTTTACTGTTCAACTTTTGGAAGCTGGAGATCTGAAATGTAGATTTTTTTGTTTGTTTGTTTCACAATTCATTTACTGAATTGGGGCAGGTGATTTAACAATAGATTGCGAGATAAGGCTGGGAGAGAAGAGTTCTTGCTTTCTTTCCCAGGAGCCAGTTGTGTCATGGATGCTTGTAAATTTTCCAAAATAACCATCTGTTGGGCAAGCTGGGTCTGAAGCTGGCGATTGGCATACATACATTCTAGGAGTCCTAGGCATTCCTTGGGCTTGTGGTCAATACCTGACGGCAACTTCATTGGCAGGATTTTCAGGAAAGTGACTGGTGAGGAACTTGCTTGAAGATTAATAAAGCTGGGGGAGGGTTTGGCTCGACAAAGAGGCACTGTATTACCCTCCTCTTTGGCTCTTCTCTTAGCAGGATGACTAGGAAGCTGCTCCATCTGAACACCCACAGGTGTGGCGCCTGTGGTGTTCATCGAAAGCCTCAACCCCAGCACCCACCCTCGTAGTTGATACACATGCGCAGTGGCGTGCCGGCCAACCGCCGGAGCCTCGGCGCTTGCGCTGAGGTTGGCGCCGCACGCGGCCGGGAGCGGCCACCATGGAATGTAGATTTTAAAGGGGTCAGGATGGAGTTTTTAACAGTATAGTCATTGACTTAAGTCAAGTTATTTATGTCAGTTATTTATTTGGGCTTATTTGTGCATTTTGAGTTTGACATGCTTGACTGTGTTGTGCCATGATTCTCAGATGGCTTCACAATATTCCTGATTTTCCTGACATCATCATGCATCTCTCAAACATGCTCCTTCTCCACATCTAGGCTCACTTGCCTCTCTTTCATGACAGCAATTTGAGGAAACCCTAGATCTAAGCACCTTTTCATCTTGGTCTAGAGAGTCCAGGACCAGGCAACTCCCGAGGGCCAGGAGTCCTCGTCAGTGCTCGAGGACTGAGTCCAGCAGGTGCGAGTGAACTTTCTTCCTGGCTTGTGCACAGATGTCTCTCTCATCCCCCAGCCAAAAGCTTTCTGGTTTTTTGCTGAATTACTGACCCACTATGAGCTCTCACATTATCTTGATCTCCCAGACCTGTTGTGGACTGATTTTTCTCAGGAGAGACGCTCCTAAGCCATACAAAGTGCCAGAAGGCACTAGGAAAGATCACAGCTTATTTGTCCATGTGAATAGTCTGGAGTGGGCTTGGAGATGAGATGTGGGGAGACAGTGGTGATATCGGACACCAACCCTTCCATTTTTCAGAATGAAACCTATTCTTTAGGAAACTTCTGTTCTGAAACCCTCTAGGTAATGGAATACTGTAAGAGGCTGTGGACCTCTGAGTGAAAAGAGAGTGAAGGGGACTTTGCAGTTTGTAAGATGTGCTGGTGGACATCAACCTTGGAATCTTCTTCATGGAGAAGAAGAAGATCTTCTTCTAACCCCTCCCCCCAGACTTGTCTCTGCCTCCACCCTGACTTTGCTAGCTTTACTTAGTTCTCCTTCCTGGTTTTTGCCTTTCTCAATAGCTTACGTCTACCTCAAACTGCAGTGTGGATACTCACTGCAGTATGTTCTGAGATGAGCTGGGGGGATGCAGTAGGTCTTGTAGTAACTTTATTCTTGAGTCTGAGGATCTCAGAAGTAGAATGAATCTTGGTCTGGGTGTTAAATTAAACCTCTGTGTGTTATTGTGTTATTTTAAGATCACAAAGGCCTCAAAACTATGGTGGCAGCCTACCCTTGTGTGGTTAAGCACACTACATCATCACATGTAGTGATAGTTTCTCTGAGGGTCTTAGCTATTTATTTTATATTGGCAAACACTGCACTGCCTTGATACAAATGCCAAGGATGGGGTGTGTAGGTCCCTAAGATGAGATGACAAAGGAGATTGTTCCCCCTGAAGGCATCTGGCCTAAATTATTGAGATGGAAAGACTGCTAGGGGGCTGGCTGAACAGCCTCGCTCTTCAATCTTACCTCTTGGCAGCTGCTTAGTAAATGGCAAGAGCATAGAAAAAAACATGGATATGGCCTTACTTCTCTGGAACCCATTTATTCTGTAGAAAGGATTCTGGAATTAGATGGTTTTTCTCCTCTTCATTTTTCGTAACAGATTTTTCCTCTCTGTTACATCATAAGATTGATTTCTATCTTCAAAATGTGTTCATGAGGATGAGAGCTTTTCAGTGAAAGCATTACAAATCATTGACAAACACTGAGAGTCTTTGGGAGAAGTGAGGCTGTTCCTACAATGCTCATTTTTCACAGACAGCCGTACCACTTGCCATCTTCCTGTATTTCCAATTTCACATTGTCCTTGTCTGTTTGAAGGTTAGGTATGTGAATTCCAGATGAGCTTGTGCCAGCTTTTTAAATTTGCATTATTTGAGGAGAAGGTGCAGTGACAGCTTATTGACACAGAAATGGCTAAGGAAGGCAGGCTGAATTGGAAGCCCTGATTCCGATGAACCCCCCTTATTTTCTGAGTGCTGGCTTGTCACCAGAGACCATATTTCAAAGTGATTTCACAGGTATTGGTTCACTGACTCTTTCTAGCATCTGTGAAAGAGGCAGAGGAGGAAAGATTAAGTCCATGTGGCAGAAGCAGAAGCTGAGAGCTGGAATGATTTTGAGACTTAGCCTTAACCCAAAGCAGGTTAACAGCAGGGCTGGGATACAAACCTAATTCTTTATGCACTGTACTTGGAGAGACCAAGGCCTGGGGAAATGTTCCTTAGGAGTCTATATAAAGCTCTTTGGTTTTTTAGTAGTGAGAAACTCAGAGTGAATCAGAACATCAGCCGCAAGAGACCTGGATTTTGAAAAGAATCTCAATGGCAGCAGTAGATGTGATATGAAATAGCCTGAGGATGCCTGCGTCTCAACCACAGACCTCCTGTACATTTGATAGCATCGGTTGTGAACTGATTACTCCATGGATTATTTTCCTTGCACTGTCCTTTTAGATTCTAGGAACCTCTTTCAGGGAAAGAAGCTGAAACTTTCTGTCAGGCACTTTCCACAGCTCAGCTTCTGCAGTGGCCTGTGATATGCCTGGCTGGACACATGTGACTTTGAATGTTTTAGAGGAGAATTTATTGGGATTTTAGTTTCTTTTTGATGTCTCCAAACTTTCAAAACTTTCACTGGGATTTTACTTTTTCACTGATTTTCTGACTTGAAAGAGACATATTCTAATCCATCATGTCTCTCAGACACAAGTTTGTGCTCTGGATTTTCTTGATGCCCTTGTTCCTTGGCTATGATCTTCTCTTGCTGAAGATCTGGGTCTGTTCTTTAGGCCCCTGATAGCTTGCCTGATTCCCAGCCCCGATTCCATCTGAAACTTTGGCTTCTGGGCTCCTCTAGTTTCTTGTCCTGTGACCTGAACCATGGGTTATTTTCAGTCTTGCTCTTTTCCCTGTGGTTTTACCTGACCACTCTTACTGATCATTGTCCTTGTACAGGAGAAGCTATTTTGTAATTTTGGAGCAAAACAAATTATCAAAATACCATCTTATGGAACTCTGAAAAAGTTTTTGTCAAACTCTTCAATTTATTGATGAGAAAAGAGGGCCCAAAGAGGCTGAGTAAATTGCTTCAGTTCACAAAGAGGGTTGGTGGCCGAGCCAAGTGTAGAACTTAGGTGTTTGTTTCACCACTGTGTATCTATGGTATCTCCTAATTTTCTTAAGTTTATAAAAACATTTGAACTCCACTGGCAAAGGAAAGGAGAGATAGAAACCTCTTTTCAAACAGAATGGTGCACATTCTCTCCTGTGTCCCTTGCCCTTCTTCATCAATCCTTAATCTCCTAGGGAAGGAGAGGAATCTCTAATGCAACTGTTCTGCTTGCCTAATGATTCTAGTATCCCAAGAGTCAAGGCCATGGGCCATTAGCAGAAAGCTTTAGCAGTTGGTTCCCACAAAGAACCACAGATGATCTCCATGGCAACTATGACTAGAATGGAAATGGCAGCTTGTACTGCATCCTGGGGCTAATTGTTGGTCACAGAAGACCACAGACCACAGACACAATGAGCTCCAGGGGACCCATGGTCTCAGACTGGTGACACTGGATCCCAGCCAAAGTTTGTAAGTAAATGAGCTTGAACAAACTTGATTTGTTAAGCTGTATAGATAAGAACCAGAGAAACTCAAATTGAGAGCTGGCCTGTATTTCCTCCTGGAGCTGTCTGAGCCAGATTTAGAGGCTTCTCTGTGATGTGGGAGCTTCCTCTGTGCCTTGGAAACAAGGCTGTGCCCAGGGTTACCCAACCTAAACAGGCTAGCTTTGTGCTTCTCCCTAGTGGCTCCGAGGGTAAAGCGTCTGCCTGCAATGTGGGAGACTTGTGTTCAATCCCTGGGTCGGGAAGATTCCCGAGAAAGAATCTGATGCAACTGAGTGACTTCACTTTCACTTCCTGTATTCTCTCTAAACCACACCTGCCCCCATGAGGTCTATCTTAGGGCAGAGCCCATACTTTTAAGGACCTCCACTTGGCCCTCTAGTCCCTCTCTAGGGAGAGTGAGGCCCCAGATGTAACTTGGGGTGGATGTAATTTAAAGGAGTAATGATCTTGGATATGGAAGCTGCCATGGCTCTAGTTCACTTCTAAGCCCTCCAGTTTTTGCTGGGAGTGACTGCATATCTAGGAATCCTAGACCAAGTGGTAGGTTGCTGAAAACTAGGAGAGAAATAGTGGGTTTAGAGGTCAGATGCATGTTTGTGTTGTCTAGGCTGCTTCCTGCCCCAAGTCCTGTGGTGTTATTTCTCTGCCTATATCATCCCATCTCCCCAGCTGCTATGCTTTCTTACTATCTACTTCCTTTCTTCTTTGTCAGAAAAGGAAACAAGCATTTTCTAGTAGACATTTCTACAGCTTTAGCAGCCTATGACAGATATAGCCTGATTCACGTGACCTTAAGCATTGTTAGAGGAGATGCTAGGATGGCTGCAAAAGGCTAGAATTGGAAAAAAGAGGACTCTGGTCCTGGGTTACAGTGAGAAACCTCTTCTATTCAATATTAAGTGCTCAACACACCTTCACTGAAGACTATGATGTGCTAGGATACAAAGATGAATGAGTGAAAGCTTCCTGGAGGAGGTGGTACCTGAGCTATATCTTCGAGGCTGAATGAGGCAAGGAAAGAGCAGAGGGCATTCCAGGTGGCAGGGTCATCAGGAGCAAAAGTACGGAGGCGAGAATGAGTGGGGAGTGCAGCGATGTCACAAGCATTCAGATTTTGCTACAGTATGTAGTGAATCAAAGCAGGAGATTGAGATAGGAGTGTGGCAATCATTTTTATCATATGCTGGCTTCACAATTTGTTCTATCACTGTTGTTATTTGAGAGACCTTAATGAAAGCTGCTTTTTGACTATCCATGTTAATGGGACTTCAAACACAAAATAGTGGATAATTCTCAAGTCTCTGAAATCCAGTCAGGGAAAGTGACCAGATGAGAGTGTGGAGTGCAGGGATCTGCCTGCAGTGTTTTCTTTGCACCTGTCCATGTACAGGCCTTTCTCAGCTGTCCTCTGGGGC